GTAATGCAGGATCTTACAGGGAAACTGGAATGACTTTCCAAACAGACTAGAATGATCCTGTATATTCATGCAGTTCAGCCTTCCCTTTCCAACAGTGTGGTGTGGGCAGGACTCTGAACTGCTGCGGGCTCTCCTGGAGCCCATGGACACGTGAGAACCATTTGTTATTTCTCCCCTTCAGCTGTGCCCTCACCACTTCCTGCCACAGCAGAGCCCTGGGGCTGGCCCTGAGCCCTGGCTCTCACCACTGCTCCAGGATGGCCACCGAGGCGGTGCTGGGACTGCCTGAAACCACCCAGTGTTAGTGAAGCTGCCACAAGTCAGTGACGACATTCATCATTGCTAATGCAGCTGAGTAACTAAGAGGCTCCATTTCCCAATGTTCATGTCTTAGAGCCACATGGGGTTTCTCCAGCCTTTTATTCTGACCCAAAGGAGCATTCCAGAACAGAAAAATACACTCTAATAAGCAACACAAGAGATCACAGACCCCAGCCAGCTCAGAAATACCCAGAACATGTGTGCCACGTACAGATCTGTTAAAGCCAACATCTAAAGCCAACTCTGTTACAGGAAAAGCTGTGGCCAAGCAGGACAATTTTCTGCCAGGGCCCAGTGGAACTGCCACGCTCATCGAAGTCCAAGGCCTCAGGAGGGAACCTCCTCCTGGGTATGGGCAGGAGCAGAGTGCAGCACCCTCCCACCCTCAGCCTCCCTGGGGCACTGACCCGTCTGCTCCTGAGGCCCATATGGGCACCCTTTCCCTTCAGAGATCTATGAGAGGTGGTAAGAGCAGAACTTGCCACGTACTCCTTCTGCCCAGACACTGCCCAAAGCTGTGCTGACAAGTCTTGTGAGCCACAGCACAGTCCTGCAGCAATGGGCTGGGCAGGCTGTACAGTCCAAAGTGCCTGTTACTGATCAACCACGACTGTCCAAGCATCACAGGGATACAAACACACAGGCACTGCGAGGTACCTGACAGAATCAGTCAGAAAGCTAGTGTGGATTTTTATGTCAAAGATCAATTCACACACTTCAAATATGTAAGAAAGACAAGTCAACAAACAGGGGAGACATTCCATACTTACAGAATACATTGAGATTCTCAGTTTCACAGCTGTTCCCAGAATGTACAAATGCAAACAAATGTATGCACAGACATAACCTGCTGTGATCTCCTGCCAGCCTGCTTCTACCTGAGCAGCACCACATCTGTTACTGGTGGAAAATTCATGTGTCTGCTGAAACTCTGCTGCTTTCAACTCTGTGCATTCACATGAGGACACATTTCACTGAGGTGCGGGGGACAGAATATGGGCAAAGAAATGCTATCTCTGTTTCTCCAGCCTGCCACAAAGCATGGCCCTGCCTGTGAACTGGCTGTGTGAGCCCATACAGCCCCTGTTGGTCCTGAGGAGACAGGCCCAAAAAGGCCCTACACTATGACCTGGACCACAGCACTGTGATGGGAAGAGGCAGGACTCAAAGCATCTACCTCCTGTGAACCCTGTAAAGGCTGCTGGGAAGGCAGCTGTGAAGGACAAAGGTGTCCCAAAACTAGGATCTGGTCCCTGTGGCTGAGATCAGCCAGGCAAGAATCCAGTCATGAAGGCAAATAAGGCATTCAAGGTATGATATGAGTAAAAACGCGTCAGCTGCAGTGCAGATACAACATGGATTTGTATAAGTGCAAAGGTAAGAGGCAGAAAACCCCCGAGCCTTTACACATCATTTTTCCACCAACATAACGTTTGTCAGGTCTTCAGGTGGTACTGGAAACTCTGACATACAAACCCCCACGCTGTGACCCATGGCACATCGAGGCATGCATGACAGGGAAATTCCATCAAAACAAATTACTCAAACAAAACCGGTGTTGATCTGCCACTTAGAACCGTTAGTCTGGGTTAAATTAATCCTTGGTGTAATTTGCTTTCCAATACAATGAAAGTTACTCTGTATGAATAAGTTCCATACAGCTGCCCTGATCTTACATCCCTATGCAGTGTCCAAACTTCTGAGCTTCATCCGCGCGAGGCCTCCGGAGCCGTCAGTTTGTGACACACGTAACGAGGAACAAACCTGAACCATCACAAGCTGGCACACTCCAGGTGCTGTTCAGTCTTTGGGATCTGACTTACCATCACCAACTTAACTGAGTTTGTGTTCCAAAACTTTAAATGGAAGCATTGGTTCTTGGCGTGTTTCCTGATGACTCTTGCTGCTCAAACTCAGTGGTTTGCTATTGAAGAGTCTGAAGTGAGTAATCATGTTATTCCAGAACTCCATTGCTCAACGGTTCACTCCTCTCCAGAGAAAGCCGCTGAAGATCCTTTGAAATATCAGGATGATCCTCCAGCTCTTCATATAATGACCGAACAATGTCCAGTTTCCTGTAGTCCACCGGGCTGACCAGACTGCGCACGACCTGCAGACATCTCTCCTTCAGGGTGAACACTGGGGTCAAACAAAACACGGCCTCATCATGAGGGCTCTCAGCTGCTGCTCCAACATCCACAGTGCAGCTCTGAGCACATGAACACAGAGCACAGCCCGCAGCAGCATCACCCACCACAGGCTGGGCTCACCAGAGAGGGGTGGGATGTGGTTCCTGCCATGAGGCACCTAGGAAACCCCTCAGAGACCCTTTACAGGAGAGGTCTGCCCCTAGCTCTACCACAGGTCCACCTAGAATCCCTCACCACCTCCTCCTGTGTCTGAGCAGGTTTACTTCTGATTTCTCACTCATCCTTACACTGAAGTTCAAAGAGACTAAGTTCAGAATTCCCCAGGGCACAGGCAATGCTGTCCCTTACCTGGCAGTGTGATGTCAGCTTTGGTCACGTTGGGGGCTACCACAAACAGCTCCTGCTGGTTGACAAGGAGCCCGTCGTTGGTCCCTGCATCCCGGAACAGCCAGAGGTGCCCTGGGAGAGAACAAGGGGGGAAGGCAGCAGTTATGGCACTTTTTAATGAGCAGCTCTGAGGGGCACTCGCGAAGGACTGAACTGTATCCGTGAGGGACCGAGCGGCGCTCCAGCTGAGCTCCCTGTTCACCACCACCACGGCCTCGGTCACTGGCGTGCACCGGGAGGGGAAAGGGAAAAGGAAAAAGGAAAAGGGGATGGAAGGAAAAAAAGAAAAGGGGATGGAAGGAAAAAGGAAAGGAAAAAAGAAAAGGAAAAAAGGAAGGGAAATAAAGAAAGGAAAAAAGGAAAGGAGAGACAGAAGAGCGGAAAGAGGAAAAGGAGGGGAAAAAAAGGAAAAGAAGAAAATGGTGAATCCCACCGCTACCATCTCAACTACCCGGGCCCCGCGACGCCCCAGCCCGTCCCGCCCCGTCCCGCCGCACCCACCGCGGTAGCTGCGCATGACGCGCCCGGTGCGCGGCTTCAGGACTGGGTAGCCCTGCGGCAGGCCCTCGAAGTCCAGCCAGACGGGCAGCACGTAGCGGGGGCTGTGGTTGTTGAAGACGACCTCGGAGAGCTCCCGTGTCTTCTCGGAGCGCAGCGCGGGCCCGGGGCCGCCCGGGCCGCTCACGGACCCCGCCGGCGGCTCCATCCTGGCCCCGCCCCCCGCGACCCCGCCCCTCGGCGCCTGCGCGCGGCCGGGCCAGGAGCGGGGGGCGGGGCTTGCCGTGAGGGAAGCCCCGGGGGGCGGGAACGGCGCTGTCCCTCAGGGACCCTGTCACCAAATACACGGACAACAGCAACGAGGGTTTGCCACACCCTTCCTCACTTAAGAGTGGTGAACTCTTTGTCAAACAGTTGTCGTGTCTTATCATCCACCAGCCTCAGTTCACAGCTCTTCTGACTAAGGCCTACCAGTGCTGCCACAATACTAATTCTTCCCCAGCAGTTAAGTTAAGCTGCCAATTCACTCCTCTCCTGACCTCTGGGTGTCAAAATAACATTCCTTTATCCTTCAGCTGGAGCTTCCCAAGCACCATACAGTATTCTCTTTCTCTCCTGCACATGAAAATAGTAAAACCTTGAGGAAAAATTAAGTTACTGGATTAGATATTGGGAAGAAATCCTTCCCTGTGAGGGCAGTGGTGAGGCCCTGGCACAGGTTGCCCAGAGAAGCTGTGGCTGCCCCATCCCTGGAAGTGTCCAAGGCCAGGTTGGACCTGCGATAGTGGAAGGTGCCCCTGCCCATGGCAAGGGGTCCCTTCCAATCCAAACCATTCATTTTGCTGTTTGGAGATACCTCTCCAAACATGGTGCTTTATAGAATCACAGAATGCTTTGGGTCGGAAGGCATGTTAAGGATCATCTCTTTCCAGCCTCCCTACCCTGGGTAGGGATGAAGTGTGCAAAGGCAGTTTAAGCATATTCTTCTCCAGAGTCACTGCAAATTACAGTGCTAAAAGCATAAAGACAGTGCCTTTTCCTTGTATGTCTCAACACCTCTTAGCAGGTTTTTCATTTAGAATACTCAGCATTCTCCAACAAGACTTAGATGAGGGATCCTTTCCTAATTTCTGCCCCTCTAGCAGCCTGTGAGGGAGAAGTGTGTACATTGTTAGAGAATGACACAAGAGAAACCATCACCTCTCAATTACATTTTTTCCCAGTAGAGCTGGAGGTCTCAGAACTGCTAGGCAGGCTTGTGTGATGGCCCTTGTGGAAAAGGAGTCACTTCCCTCGTGTTCCTTCTACGAGAGGAAAACAGCAAATTCACATCATGGAAGGAGCACGTAGTTCAGATCCTGATACTGTAAAGCAGCTGTGAGCAGCACTGTGGGATTACACAGCATATACATACAATGAGGTTGATTGTCCTAACTGAAAAAAGCTGCTATTCCTCAGTGTCTGGTGCCAATCTTCCATAAAAACAGAAGTGTGGGCTTTAACAGCAACTGCTTCAAACTGCCCAACTCAAAAACAGATTCACATCTGTAAAAGAGCAGAGCTATTCAGACATCACTGTACATAATCTTTTTCCTATACTCTTAAATCTGGACACAAACCAGAAAAGAACACAATTAAGAATCATCTCTTATGCAAAACTTCTAAAACTTTAATACTTGTTAATTCACCTCTGAACACTTACAAGTACTTAGCATGAACACACTGTAATGAAAAGGGTAAACCAGTAATGTGTTTTCAGCCTCTGCTGAGCAGAGTAAGAGGCTTGAAAAATCACAGTATGTTTAGAGAAGAAAAATTATTTGCAACTTCAAGTTAGTGGACAGGGAATATAGTTTTGTAAATACTGTGGCAGCATAACTATGACAGTTAAATCACCTAAGAAATTCAAACACTGCCGCTTTGATGTGTCCACAGTAGACACTGGAAACACAAACTTGTTAATATAGCTGCTAAAAGTATCTTTGTTCTCAAACAGTAACTACAGGCGGTTTGCTAAGGCTGTGTGAGTTACCCCCTCAGCCAAGACAGTGGAACATTAAAATATGGATTAGACATTTACTGGTAATTAGCACTAAGGTGAGGTAACAGGCAAGAGAATCAGTAGCACAGCATATTGTTTACTAACTGGAATTTGCTTATCAGACCATAAAACCCAGATATTGTTTTATTTTCTTCGTTTACATTTGAGCAATGGTATAAATTAGAAAACTTCAATTTGGAAATATCCCACACTAGAGAAATACTACCTCTGAACCCTTCAAGGTGACAGTCTTAGTAGTCCTGTTAGTCATTTTAAGACACATGTAAGCTTTCTACAGTTTGGTAAACTGTTACCTTCAGAGCTGCCTCAACATGTTTTCTACTGTAAGCAGAGGAATAAATATTTAACTGAAAAATATAGAAGACTCGGGCCATGGAAAGCGTTACTAATCCCACAACTGAATTTCAGTTTGGGTGGCAAGGAGGAGAGGTGATTTAAATAACAAGTTTTCAGAACACACAGTACAACTGGCAGCTCTCAAGTTGATCCCTGGTTTAATATTTGTGTGACACAATTTCTACTTAGGTTGTCTGGGTTTGGAACTGACAGACCCAAGCTCTGTGGTGTCTGCTTTACCAAATGGCCATTCAACAAATTCTGGAGGTGTGTCTTCTTCCAGGCAGTTTACCAGAAGGACCTTCTCTCTTCTGCTCTCTCCCAGGTGCGCCGCAGCAGATACACTGCAGCGTGGAGTCCCCCCACGTTCACCCACACCGTCTGAGCTCTGCGCCAGATGTGTCCCACCCGTGACAAGGCCTGCAAGCCAAAACCAACCAGAGAGCAGCGTTAAGACAGTAATATTATTTTTCATTATTCTAAATCACATCTGATGGCAATGCCAAGGGACTTTTCACACCCAGAACTGCATTTAGATGTTAGTAATTTTTGCTCAATAAATAAAACATCTGTAATGATGACAGCTTACAATTTTTTTCTCAATACATTTTCAAGTGTAAATAGGTTTGATTTTCTCTCACAGAACATACCTTGGCAAAGCATTTCTTGTCCTGGGTAAGCAGCACAGCCCTGCCTGTCCCTGGGGTGCAGATCCGGCCCATCTCCATCAGGCAGGCCGGGTAGAGATCCCAGTTCTTCTTCTTTGACCCTATCCTGCAAGATACATTCAGATGTCCTTTGTGATCACTGAAACCAGTTCACTGATGTTGGTCTCAGACAGGAATCAGCTTATTCAGGACCACAGTTACTGTTACTTTCAAGCTGTATTTTTACCATAGGGCCTGTCGCACCTTCCCAGCTAGGCCCAGTTAAGGACCCGACTGGAGAGAAGCCCAGGCCTGGCCAGGTGAGCCCATGCAGCTGTGGCAGTGAGGCACAGCACCTTTCCAGCACTCCTCACCTCTTCCCAAAGGGCATGTCTGTCACTACGATGTCCACAGAGCCAGTCCGGAGAGGCAGGTTGCAGATGTCCCACTGGATGATGTCCAAGGGAACACCCGGGGCAGTGCTGCTGCAAGGGCAAAGGCAGTTACCTCAGACATGAGCACTCAGAAGGTTTTTACACTGAGGAGATCTAGAACATTGGAAGCGGAATAAACAGGAAAATATGAACTAGACACTTAAAAGCATCAATGCAAAGTGGATTTCTCTGCATACAACACTGCAGGAAACAGAAATCCCTTGTGCTCTTCTCACCTGTCCTTACTCTCATTTTTCCTCAGTAAGGAGCAGATGTTGTTTGCTGCTCTCTTCACAGCCTGAGGGTTGTTATCCCCTGCAATGTGGTAGCAGCCGGGCCATTCCGCAGCTCCCTAGGGGAGAATTGATAATAAGCAACGTTAGCATAAACCCTGCTTGACTGAAAATACAACAAACAGAAGAATTACTCAAACATGACAAAATACAACAAAGCAACTGCAAGTGGATGGCAAGGAATTTAGAGTTCTGTAACAGATAGCTGTTACAGGTATTATGCACCTTTAAGGCTCAAAATACTTCTGGATTTAGTTTCTTCCCGCTATAGACCAGAGAAGGAAAAAGGTCGCTTACAAAAAGTGTATTTGTATCTGTTCAAAAGTTGGTGAGATTGGACCTTGCTATTCAGTCATTACCAAGAAGACTTACACACATTACTGAGTTACAGATACTGGTAAGTTTAATTAAGTTAAAAAAATCACAGAAGAATCACCTCTATTGGTATTGCACCTGTACCACACATGGGATCAACTATGATATCCGTGGGCTGGGGATCACAGAGTCTGAAGAATAGAAGAAAAGATATGGTGAGAAAAGCCAAGAAAATGTGAATTTCTCTAAGGAAGGGAAAGTGAACTATTTTAATAATTCTGATTCTATCCTTTTAACAAAAAAACTTTGTGATTATTTTTTCAATACGTTAATTACCATTTTATGAGCAGTAATACAGTGAAATTCTTTCACAAATGTGATACACTATTTTGAAGCTAGGCTAACACAGCAAAGATTTACTTTCCTTGTCTGGGAAACCACCACTGTAACTACAAAGCACACCATGTCAGCAACTCTGCTTTTTAAATTTTTTTTCAAGAATTAACAGAAATGGCTTCTGAGGAAGCAGTGGGGAGATAAAGGGCCTAATTTCTGAAACAAAAGGACTCATTAACTGAGTATAGCAGAAGGCAGCTGCCCTGACCTGAGCATGCCGTAAGCCAGAGTCGAACGCAGCGTTGTGGGTCCGAAGTGTGTGATATTCCGCCTGTGGAGACTCTCTTCAGTTAATGCAATCCCCACCACCACTTCATTGTTGTGAATATTCAGAAGAACCTAAAGAAAAAACCTGAACTGAATTTCAGGAGTTTGCATAGTATGCCTGGTAAATATTTATGGGAAGTTATACGGCAATTTAAAAACCAGGAACGATGTATAAAAGAGCTTTTCTTCTTGTAGGAAAATCAAAGCCCCATTTTTATAACCATAAAGGACAGAACTTGGGAGAGCACTCACATATTCTCTCAGTCACACAAGACTGAGAATCTTTTACACAAGACTTCCCAAAGTGCTATAACAATTACACTGGCTTCCTAAAAGGTTTAGTTTTTAAGTTTGGGGGAGAAGCCAAGTAAGTCCTGCAAGTCACAGTGAAGTATCTGCAAAGCAGCAATAAAATTCATATTTGTGATGGAGACCATATTAGCATCTTGCTCCAGGGCAGTGACCAGCCCTTAACAGACCTACAAGAAAAACAAGTCTCTGTGTCCCTCAGAAACAGTACTCCTGCACCACAGATGGACCAAGGGTGTTGGTTGTGCTTTCCCAAACTCTGCTCTCCTCTGACAGGAAATAAACACTGGACAGTTACTGTTAACCCTTTCTGTTCCCCTCACCCATAAAACCAGCTTCCAGACAGAGCATCTCCTGACAACTTAGAGTGGTATTAAACAACGGAATAAGGACAGGTTTACTGAGGGTAAAAGCAAAGCAGAAGGCACTGACATTACCTTTAAATATGAAGGAGCCCAAAGGCTATAGCAGGTGGTAATACTCAGAACTCAAGCCTTTGCTGTGGCTGGGAGAGAGCTTTGCAGCCCCAGCTCAGCTGTGCTGGGTTCATCAGCTAACAAGAGGAGACAGCAGTGTTTGAACAAATTAGAGGCCCGGGGAAGGGAGAGGTGCCACACTGGGCCACTCCAGAGATTATTATCATGGATAGCCAAAGCACCAGCAACTGCTGGGGATCTGAGGACACGTGTAAAGTGCCAGGGAAACGAACACTTTCAGTTCCAGAGTCTCTGAAAGGCAATTTGGGGACCTCTAAGCATCAGAATTAAGAACTAAAGATTTGTACAGCAGAAACATAGGCGTTTCCAAGGCACACCACCATACCTCCACATCAAAGTTCGTCATGTCAGCTTTCCACTGGAAGTGCTCCTGCACGGCTCCACCGAAGTCTCTCGCAGCCTCGTTTGATGTGAAGCTGTGCTTGTCTCCAGCTCTGTTGCACGTCACTCGGAACTTCAGCACCTTTGCCTCTCCTTCAGCTGCCTGACCATCACCAGCCTTGGTACTACTCCCAGAACTCGCCTGCACTTCGTCCCTCGCATCCAATTGCTCGTTATCCTCCTCTTCCTCCTCTCCCCCATTTTGGGATGCCACCCCTTGGGGCTTCTCTGTATCCTGGCTGCTAGCCACACCCACAATGCTTTGGGCACAGCCCTCCTGGTCATTAGTGTCTTTTTGGTCTGCTCCTCCTTCTTCTCCACCATCATTCAGCTTCTCTTTGCTTGCAGGACTCTGCAAATTGTGTTTTTTGCGTTTTGTCTTTTTCTTTTTTAAGCTGTTGTTCAGCTCCCAAACTTTCAACGGATCGGTCCAGGGCAGCTTTTTAACCAAACCTTCCAAATCCTTTAAAGCTTCTTCCTTTAACAGACAGAAGAAGTTGTACTTTAAAGTAATTTCATTCCTTTAAAAGTTATCTTTTATTTTTAGGTCTCTCAAAGTAGTTCATTAAACATTAGCCCACTATATCTTTAAGAAAAGCTTACAGGTTTTTGTCCAATTCTTGCCATAAAAGGAATTACACTGAAAATCACAAGACCCACAGGATTTCACAGTTTCTCTCATAAAACAAACAGCTAGCAGTGCATTAAGTGACCAAAGCAATACATCACTGTCCTATGTCTGTGACCTACAAACATGGCATCAGCTCTCATCCCAGATTTTGCCAATGCAACATATTTAACTGAAGAAATATTAGACAACATGGCCACAATTCCATTTACAAGCCAGAAAAGAGGAAGTGGAACAATATCACAACTGAAAAACCCAACAAACTTGTTAAATAAACAGAATACTTTGACACTAGTCTTAAACTAAAAAAGTCAAACCAAACAACACTTCAAACCCCAGAACTGACTGAAAAATGAGGCATACCTCACCTTATTTTCTTTAAATTGATAGTCTTTGAACTCTTCGACAACAACAAATAAATTATCCACTGACCGCAGACGGTGGACCTAGAGGAGATGAGAAGGCACGGTGGCACGTTACTAACCGTGTGTCGTGGGGATTGTGTTTACTGTCGTCAGAATTTTGCCATCTTACATGCACGATTTTACACTTTAGTCCTCAAGGGAGTTATCACTCCATACCTCTGTACCGATTTAACCTCCCCAGTTTTGACTTAATCTCCCCTTCAAACCGCGATAAAGGCGGATGCAGCTGCTGCACCCGGGCCGGCCGCGGTCTCCGACAGCGGAGCGCTCGGCTCGGAGGGGCCGTGACCCACCGGACCGGACCGGGCAGGGCAGCGGGGCCGCGGCGGGGACAGCGGAGCAGGGAGCGGAGCAGGCGGCGTGCACGGACCTGCGGCAGGCTCCGGGCCGGGACCGCGAAGTAGATCTTGCCCCGGTCCCTGCTGATCCTGGAGGCCGAGCCCAGCTTCTCCTGCACCTCCTCGGCCGCCGTCTGCTCGAACCCCGTGGGCACGGTGGCGCCGATAACGGCCGCGAGCTCCGCGCCCTCCTGGGCTGGACCCGGACCCCGACCCGGCCCCAGCCCCGCGTCACCGGCCGCCTCCGCCATGGCAGAGTGCCGGGGGAGGGAAACCGCCGGGGGAGGGAAACCGCCGGGGGAGGGAAACCGCCGGGGGAGGGAGGCTGCCGGGGCAGGGACACCGCCGGGGGAGGGAGGCTGCCGGGGCAGGGACACCGCCGGGAGCTCCGGCGGCCGCGCGGCACCGACCACGACAGCCGCTCCCGCCGC